TCCTTACCTTTGTGGGGGTAGCGTGATATTCTTCATGGTCGAGCGTTGCTTCAGCAGTGGCTCCGATGGTAGGTCAAAAATGCTGAGATTATTTCCCTAGCTACATCGGATTGGGTTCCTGCTTTGCATCCGAGTCCTCCTTGACTCCGTCCAAAGGTAGGAAGAATTCACGGAACGGTTGCTTCTCTAATCTTGGCACGTATAGGACGATGGAATGTGGACCGTATTCGGTTGTTGTTTTCCTGGGAGGTAGTTCCAAAAATATTTTCTTTTCCGCTTCCTATGGTTCCTATGGCGTCCGTGTATTATTTCGTTAAGTCAGGATATCACTTGGCCACCCAATTTAGAAAGGGGTGTGATCCCTCTTTCAAGCAGGATGTAAGACCGTGGGATAAAAAGTTGTGGGAAGGATTTGGAGTGCTTCTGTTCCACCTAAGATGATATATTTTATTTGGAAAATAATTAGGTGAGTTCTTCCTACTGTGGAGGCCCTGCCATTTCATGGTATCATGGGTGTGGCTGTGCGCCTGACTCGTTTGGGGGAGGTGGGATCCTTGGAGCATTTGTTTTATTTTTATTTTCGTCCTGCTAGGGAGCTTTAGGACGCCTCGGGCTTTAAATACTTCGACCGAGTCTCCCAACGGGTAATGTGGAGATATTTTGCAGACAATTGTTTGATAAGGATGGGGATTCCGCTTGTGCGGATGCATTGCATCTTGTTGCTTTGTTTCAGGGTATCTGAAAAGCTAGAAACTAGGTGGTTTTTTAACCTACTCTCTTTTCGACCCCTGTCCATTTATCCTAATTCAATGAGCAACTTGGGGGTGGGAGCGGGGTGGGGGAAGGGGTAGCGTGGGGGATGCTCCACCTAGGGCTTTGCATGTTCATACCGATGGGGCCACTTGTGCAGGCTCGCATGGAGCTGGTGGCTCAGCCCTCAAGGATTGTTCATGAAGACTGATGGCGCTGGCGACGAACTATATGAGGAGTTGGATGATCCATTCCTTGTTGAATTGTTGGCGCTCAGGGATGTGATCTAGTGGTGCCTAGCTTATGGCATTCAAGAAGTTGTATTTAAGGTGAAGTGCTAGTCGTGTTCGAGAAGGAGGCAACTAAGAATGCTTAGGATGTGCATGGTGGTGCTATTTTGGAAGAGAACCAAGTCCTTCGCTGGTGTTTCCATTCTTGTGGTTTTTATTTGTTAGGCGTGATTGCCATAGGCAGCCCATTTGGTGGCGAGAAAAGCCATTTCATTGTACCTAGTTTGATAGCGTTTTATTTTTTTGCTTCGCTATGTGTGTCCATGTGACTCTAGTGTAACTCTTTTGTCTCATTAATACGAGTTAAAGAAAGGAAGATAAAGAATATAATTTATTTTTTTCCATTTTTTTTATTTTTTGTACTATAAAATCACTTTGGCCCGTCATATATGAAACTCCAAGTGAATTGTATTGATGTATATTTGATAATATTTTGATGAGTTAGATTGCATAAATTATGTAATGACAATAGGAGCAACATATGAAATTGGTTTTGTAATTGCATTGTTTTGGATGCTGTAAAGGGTGAGATTAAAATGTCTTTTAGTTCCCCTACTTTTGCAATCGGTATGTATCTTCTATGTTTTAATTTGGATTTCAAAAAAAAAAAATTGCACAGATAGAACGAGTTTGTTATGATCTACAAAATGTGTCACCATTTTTAATATATTTGGAGGAAAAAATTCATACCTCGTTACAACCCTCGTAACTCCTTCATTTTCACTCAAAAGAGAAATTTTGCATACAAGGAGTGAGTTTATCGTGGTCTATTTGATCTATAAATTTTTGTGGAAAAATGCAAAACCAAATATCCCATCGTATACCACCTTGGTTTAGGGTGGTAACTGGTGGTAGACGATGATCAAATATGATAAATGGACGTTAGTATAATCCTACTACCATGTATAAAACAATTATATACTATGGTTTATTCATACCATTATGATATAATCTTATATACTACCAAAGATTGTCACCATGGTTTCGACTGGTAATATATGTCTCAATTTTTTTTGTTCCAAAATATATCAAAGTGGATGTCATTTTTGAAGAGAATAATTAATATGATTTTTATGTGTGAAAATATTGAATTATGACTTAAAAAAATAGATATAGTGCGTGAAATTAATAGGGTAAAAGTTATATGTCTCTCATAGACACTAAATGTGGGCTATTTAAAATTTGATTTACTGACTGGATGTGCTCCCTTTTTTGGGCATGAGAGTTAGCTGATGCAGATTACCAAGATGATGTTATTAACATCATGTTCAATGCAGTCCAAATCGCGTTTTAAAATTTAAAAACTTACTATTTTACGCTTTTAGGTGAGCGTCACGCTTTCGTTTCCATATAAAAATTTTACTGTATAAAATCGGACTAAATTCCGCTTTAAACCTTAAAAGCTTATGTTTTTACGCTTCTAGTTCATCAAAACGCTTTACGTTTTTACGCTTTTAGTTCACTAAATACGTATTCTTGTCATGAAATTAAAGGTAAATTATCAATAATATGATACTTGTGAGATTAAAAGTACATACCAAGTGCTTTGATGCATTCTTAACTTCAATAGAGTAATCTAATTCACCAGCTAGGCTCTTCCCAAATTCATTAGCATAGAGGGTCGATGGATTATTGTTAAGATTTATGTTTATGAACTTATTATTGAGAGGTTATAAGTTGTTCTACTTTATACATGAATTGCAGGTGTTTATTCACTTATCTAAATTATGTGCACTCATATTTTATATAGTATATGCCGTACTTAAATTTTTTTTAGTTATTTTACAACATGCATAAAAAACTTACGTTTTTACGCTTTAATTCTATGCATTACGATTTTACCCCTTTTTCGCTTATAGGTAGAATCACGCTTTTGACTGCATTGATCATGTTAATAGATTTGTGAATATTTCACCAAATTTTAACTGATCATATCTCGAGTTTTAACTCGATTTAAAAAATATTTCCTAAGATGATTAGATTTTTGTGTCATATAAGATGACATCCATTTTGATATTCTTTTGGAGTCACAAAATCTTAGAGTATTTTCATATAATGATATTACCATAGTGTTAAGATCATATCATGATAGATATGATAGTGGTAACCTTATAGTATGAAATATTACCATAGTGGTGAGATCATGACATGATACTGATAAAATTTGTAGTATGAAATCTTATAATAGTAGTAAGATGATAGTAAGACGTCTTATGATACTGCCATATTTGTAATTAGATGATTGTATGATAGTGGTAAGATTATAGTAGAAGTTTCATCATATTAGTAAGATAATAGTATATAAGAATTTTTTTTATGAACATAGTGTTATTATCATAGTAAACACATATTTTGAAGGTCTATTTTCACTCAAAATATAACAATATGTATTTAAATATTTTAGGGCTAATACCATTACAACACCCAAACTATCAACAAAATGCCATTTGTATTCTATTCTTTTCAATATTCCATTTCTATCACATCGTATGATAGTTTTGTGGCATTTGTATCCTAACACTTTTGTTGACCGTTAAATATAACTGTTGACCAGACGATGCTCAAAGCAATATTGACTTTTGATGATGTGGCAGCCACATAGATGCCACATCATATTGTCTTTTTACACATTAGATTATTTTTTATTCAAAATTATATTAAACGGAAAAAATATGGTTGACCAGACGGAATCCCTTCCGGCCACCACCTCCGAAAAGATTAAGCTTTGGACTGTACATGGGCGGTAGGTCGTGCTTGGGCCGGCACGGCACGGGCACGCTTCGGGCCCATTTATTTAGTGTCGAGTTTGGCACGACCCTTCAGTTTTCGTGTCGTGCCATGCAAGCCCATTTGTTAACTTTGCTAGGCCCGGCCCGGGCCCGAGCACGGTTCGAATCGTGCCTATTCGTGCTCGTGTCATGCTCGTATTCGTGTTTAATGAAAAGGACGAAACCAAAATAGAGAATGAAAAGGAAGGTGAAAATTGGTCTGGGGAAGATTGTATTAACCGATAATGTTTGAGAAAAGTAACAAATAAGGGGGAAAAGAAAATTGGAAGTCTAGCGAGTGTGATTTGGCTTTGTTTAATTCTTTGTCCATTTTTACTTTGTTTAATATCTTTATGACACTTCTAGCAACAACAAAAAATTATTTTTCTACTTGTGTTTTGTAATATTTGAACCTATATTTCTTTTAATATTTATTTTCTATCAAATAAATATTATTTTCGTGCCATGTCCGTTCTTATACTCAATAAAGTCTAGAAAATATTAGGCCCGACACGGCCCACTTATAAATCGTTTCGTGCCCGTGCTTGTGCCCGTGTCCACGAAGTTTAGGCCCGGCTGGCCCATTTATTTCGTGCCCGTGCTCGTGTCGTGCTAGCCCGTGGGCGGTGTCGCAACTGTGGGTCAGAACCGAGGCTTCATCTTCGATATAGAAATATAGAAATCTAGGTTCGGGAGTACGGTTACGTGTGGGGAAGTGAAATCACACCCCACAATGCCCAAAATTGGTATGGCTTAAGTCGACAAGTTTTCTATGTGCTGGGAGTTTTTTTATAACAATTGTGTATTATTAATATCTCGCTTCATCATTAATATATTGCTAACTTATTAGTTATGATTTAATTAAACGTCAATTGATGGATATATTTTAAAGATAAATTTGATTAGGGTCCCATTGAAACCCTAAATAAATTTAAATCGCATCAATGGTAATTTGATTATACGCGCTAAATGACTGGTGTACGTCAGGTGTATAGTATACGGCAGGTGATCTAGCCGTTAGATGTACTTAGATGAGCTTCGGGCAATCTCAACGGTCAGTTTTGTTTTTTATTAAATCAAACATCGGGTTGGGGTTTAGAAAATCGGTGTCTGGGGTTTATCCATTAGAGGTTAGGGTATAGTATCATACCCCATTCTCGATTTAATTCATGGTCTAGATAGAGATATCTCACTAGTAGTACCTGACGTATAGTATACGTCTGACGTACGCCAGTCTGACCCATATATATATATATAAGACCCTTACCTTGGCGGTGGTTCGGCGCTTGGTGGCGATGACGTGGCTGACGAAGTCGTCGATGGTTCGGATGTTGCTCCTGAGGGAAGCCTCCGCGCCGAGATTGAATCGCCTCTTCAGCCGCCAGAATGGATCCGCATAGCGCCAGTAAGTCAAGGCACTCGCATCGTCAAATGCCTTCATGAATTCTCCGCCTTCTTTACTGCTCCCCTCCAAGCACCTCAACTCCACCCCAAACCCTACTTCAAATATCGAGTCCAACGTGCATCTCATCAAAACATCCTGAACAATTCATGCAGTTAGAGTGTGTTTACTTTTAGTTACGACTGAGAAAATAGATCAGACCGTTAGAAAAACCATGATACAAATCGGACCGCACAGTTTTGTCCGAACCGTAGATCGTTAAATATGGTCTGGTCGATCCATGGTCTGTATTATCTGATGTTTTATCTCTTGGTCTAGTCTGGTATAGACCGCTGTTTACCGGACCAAACCGTGGACCCTTGTCAATACGTGTTAATAACCCATTAGACCACTATTCCAACTACCACAATTACGACACTCAAGTCTCAACTTTAATTTTGAGAATCTCGTCTCTAGCTCCTTCATTTACAACCACATTTCACCAGAGAGTAGAGATAATTGTGTATTCATATGGCATTATGTTAATGTTTATGACGTTATGGTGTAAGCTGGGATGTTTTTACTTTGTATCTTTGTTATGTACTAAGATTTAAAGTATCAAAATTATTCATGCATGTTAGAATTAATGTTTTAAGGCAAAACGTAATTATTTTTCTTGATTATTAATTCAAATTTTTGTATGATTGACTAAACAAATTGTCATTATTTTTCATTGAGTGTGGTCTATCTGGACCAGACCAGACCGTAAAAAAAAACATCTACTAACAATTGGCTCTTGCTACTTACAGTTCTTGAAGACCCATTACCTTTTCCCCAATTTTTGTCGTTAGATTATATAATTTTAACTATTCAAGATTTTTAATTGCACAACTCAAATATAATTTTAGTGTAAATTTTACCATAAAAACATTGTAGAACTAACATTGTCAAGTTTGGCTATTTTTTTTTATTTTTAGAAGGATTTATCTAAATTGGGAAATTGTGATGGGTAAATTGTTTTTAAATAACAAGAGAAATTTTGCAATACTTTAAAGTATGAATGTTTTAGTTCTTTTTGTCTTTTCGGTAAAAACTGAATTTGTACTTTTAAAGTTATAGTACAAATTCAATTAGTATCTATACTTTTTGTAACAAATTGAATTTATACCATAACGTTAAAAGTACAAACTGAACTTGTATCATAACATAATAATATAAATTTTCTTATGATACAAACTTAACTTGTACAAGTTATTTCATAGTACATATTTAATTGTATATCGAAACACCAATACTTTTTTTTTCCGATAAACATCAATACTTTAAAACATAATAGAAGTGCTCAAATAACTAATTTCACCTAATATGTTCAAAGCATCATGAAAATAATACATAAAGCCTCGTACAACCTATAATAAAGCAAATTGCAATTTTCCTAATCAAAACAATAACCGGGAATTTTTTAAAGAAACCGGCAATATAAGGGGAAAATGGCACGGCACATTAGAATCCCCTTATAAGGAACTAGCATAAACGGTAATATTTCTTTTACAATTTAATCTATGAATATACGTAACTTTACAAAAAATTATTATTGATTATAACAATATTTTAGTTCAAAATACCAAAAATTTAATTTTTTTTTATTCAATTGAAGTCAAGAATGAAACTTTCTCATCTTTTTTATTCGTACTAGATGGTGCCCGACCCCTTGGCCGGAATGATTTATTGGTATATATTGGGATTGAATAGAGGTGAAAAATGAATTAGTGATTGACGGAAATTCGTAGTAGATAGAGAGAATAAAGCTTTTGTCAAATTTTCCATTTTTTCATGTAATTGACAAACAATCCATTAATAAAAATTAACAGTTTTTAAACTCCTAATGTTTCACTGCACGACATAGTTAAATTTTCATACTTTAAATCCAAATTATTTTTACTATCTTCTTCATCCTAGTTAAGTCACACGATTTATATTTTGACTTTATAAATTTTCTACTTTCACCAATCTTGAAGTAGTTCCTTTTTTTTCTATTTTCATTATATTCTTATTAATTTAGCTCTCCCATTATTGATTTTTTGGATAATTCTCTTTCCGGTTATTTAAGAAAAAAAAATTGTGAGTGTACCACCAAAATACATTAAGTGTAAATGAGGAATGGAGAGGGGTGGCGAAATTGTTTATAATCTGGATAATACAAACTAATGAAAGTAAAAATATAAAAAATGAAAATTATATACAAGCTCATTCTCTTTCTGAAATAATAACATTTCCCAGAAATAGACAAAGATTGAAAATGCTCTTCAGTATTCACAGCCGAAAAAAAAGGAGGGGTTTAAAAGGGAAGTTCTGGGCCGATTTTGGGAGGCCCATAGCGAGAGGGAGTAATTGCGCATTGTCTTATTTGTCCCTCCGAAGAGTGCGGTCTAGCGAGGAAGTGCTTACATGGCCAATTTTTTCCCCTGACAATCCCTTATATTATTTTGTAGAATCGTATTTTAAAGAGGTTTATTGCGTCTAGATAAAAATTATAATATTTCACATGTATTTGAGATCTATAATATTTATATAATAAAATGCTATGTTTTCATACTAGGACCGATTGTTCAACCAAAACAGCTAGTGGTTGATGGTTCAATGGTTAATCGTTATACAGTGTTGTTAATCGTTTATAAAACCGTTCATGCGCTATAACATAAAAGTCATAATACAATAAATTAGAAGTGAATTTATCACTAATTATAAATAATTTCAAAACCTATATCATCTAATACCAAAAATATTTAACAAAACATTCAAATTATCTAACAAAAGAAATCATAATTTTTTTATTAAATTCAAATTAGTAATCATGTGAGTGTGACAATCCATAGTTAACCAAATAGAGGTATCAAAGAGGTTGGGAAACGAAGAAAATAAATTATAAATAAAATTAGTGATTGAGGTTGGGTGATCTTAGTTTATGTAAAAAAATCATAGTTAAAATAATAAACAACTGGGTCAGTCAAGCCTGGGTTGTTCTTCTGATTTCACGTCCAGCGGCGGATCCAGAACAGAAAAGAGCACTGGGCCGCATTTAGAACCATAAAACAAATCTAATGATTATAGTTTTGTTTTTATAATGTCAATTATACACGACGGTATTTTAATTTAGCGAATGCATTAATAATGGAGTCCACATCTATACCAATAGTATACACCGTTTCAAATAAAAATACTTGAGCAATCGGCAAGAAATTCATCGGTGATAGAAGGCAGTCCATTTATTTTCATTATTTTTTTTTATTTTTCTTTTTTTTTATTAATTATAGACATTTCCAACTTGGCAAAGTCAGAAGAAAAAGTTGACACATCATCAAAAGACGTTAGTCCAGGAAGCATGTATCACTGCACCGTTAAAATTATGGACGAAAAGGCTATTTTAGTGTATTTTTCAAAACTTGGCTATATTTGTCACAAAGTGCAAAATTATGGCTATCCATATGTATTTTGCCTTATCAATATAACTTTCTTACAAAGAAGATCATATTAAACATCAAAGCAAAAAATCGAGTTTATAAATAGCTCTTAAAAGTTTATCATAAAAATCCTAATTGATAATTCTACTGGGAATGACAAAAATATCCGTAACCGTGAATATCCGCCCGAATTTGGCCTAATCGAGTAGGGTAAAACTCGAACCCGAACCCGAAGGACATTTAGTGGGTATGGGTAAAATCCGAACCCGAATATTACAAGTAATGGGTGGGCATGGGTTTCTCACTATCCAACCCGAACCCGCCCGATTATACACATGCACATGTATTTTGTCTCGAAATAATCATTATTTTTCTTTAACATATTTTATATTTAGCATATAAATATAATATTTTCATGAAATTGTGTTGTTTTAATTAATTTTCTTCACTCTTGTGAAGTATTGTCGTACTTTTCCTCTTACGTAATGTGAGAATACGTATGAATGTTAACATATTTGTTGGAGTTATGAAGAGAAATTATTACTCATGGATATCTTGGATATCCGAAATCCGAACGGGTATGGGCATGGTTTTGATTTTCTACCTGTATCACATGTGGGTAAGGGCAGTGGCGGGCCAAGGGGGTTTAGGGGTGTCCCCGGACACCCCTAAATTTTGGGAAAATGATTATCCAACCCCCGATGATAATTTACGTATGGACAAAAAAAAATTGATAGTGAGGGACACCCCTTAAATTTGAAAAAATGATTATCCTACTGTCATTTGTGTATAGGAATATAAGTGGTAGGTTGGATAATTTAAATCTGGGACAATTTTTTTAAACACTATAGACACCAAGTGTATTCTACAATTATTTCCGAATATGAAAACACATCATGGACTTTTTTAACCTGTACGAGTAAGGTATTTTCATATTTACAATTTTATTTTTATCAAATATTTTATTTTTATTAAATTTATTTTTTAAAAGAGGACACCCCTATAAAAAATTTCTGGGTCCGCCACTAAATATGGGCATGAGTAAAACCCGAACTACTTTAAATAGGATAACAAATATGCACTATCCGTCCCTGAACTGATCCATTGTCATCCCTAAATTCTACATTGTCCCAAAAGATCTGTACAGTTTTCCAAATTGTTTTTAATTAATTAATTAATACATGCAATCTTTAGGGCATTGAAAACATAGTGGGCAACTGTTCTCACATCTCAGCAAAAAAGCACGGAAAGTTAATAAAAAGGAAAAATACAAACGTTCAAAAAATCAGAAGGGAAACGTTGATTAACTAATTATAATGGGTGGTAAGTAGGGATGGTTATACGGTCCGGTCCACTTAAATTGGTCCAAATTGATTTGGTTCAATCCGGTCTTTTTGAAAATATAAGGATCAAAGATTGGATTGGGTACAGTCCGGTCTTGACCCGGTCCGGTCCCAATTCGGTCTTGATTTTATATTGAGCTTGTGGGAATTTGAGTGGCCTAAGGCCTGAAAGGGTGAGGAGTTGGTTAAGTTTTGTACTAAGTGCAAATCGTTTATGCAAATTACCCTTAAGTTTTGGGTGTTGAGCTCTCTTATCCGGTCTTTATCCAGTTTTCGATCTGGTCCCAAACGATTTTTTACCTCAAATCTAAACCCAAAGATTGGATTGGATTGTTTACTATCCAGTCCCGGTCCGGGTTATACGGTCCGGTTTCAGGTAAAACTAAAAAACCCGGACCAAATAGTCAGCCCTAGTGGTAAGTGGTAACTGCTGCTTAGAAAAAAACACGGAATAATATATAAAATAGAAAAGGAAAAAAAATACCCTAATTCCGAAAATTAAGGAGAGCTCTTTATGGCTGACGTGGATAGGGTGTTTTTCTCAAACCCCTTTATTATACTTTATTTATATTTATTTATTATTTATATTTATTTAAGATTTCGGGAATTCTAGGGTGCCGGTATAGCACCGGTACTGTCACTAAATCTAGCCGATTCAAATCATAAAGGTTTGATTTGAATTTCTTGGACCAGGTCGATTAAGAGAAATAAATAAACCCTAAACATAATTCCTCTTTCTATTTCTCTTTCCTCTTTGAGAATCAGCGCCACCACTATCGATCACCGCCGTTGTGGTTGGCCGGCCGCCATCACCACCGAGATCCTGATAGAGTTTCCTGAATTAGTTCCCTACCGTCATAAATTCATAATCTTGCCTAATAATTCCTCATAATTCCTTTCCATTCTTGTAATTGTAAGAGCAAGGTAAACGCATGCACAATATATGTATTGTACTATATATGACCATATACTGAAACCAATTCTTACAGATCCTTGCCACCGTCAATCCAAAATCCAAATTACTACCAGCATCATCGTCCCTCGACAATCACCAATTCACCGTCATCATCCGCAGGCTAGAAACTCCAGGGGGCGATGGGGATGATGATATCGATCGAGATACAGCCAAATCGTAGGAGAAATAGAACAAAGTTGAATTTATATCAGTTTCAAATCCCAGGGAAACAGTAAAAAACTCGATAGGCGAGCGTTGGTGTTGGCCTGTCCCCGACGATCGGTGGTAAACTAACGGTTCGAGGGAGGATGTTTTTGTTTGATTTTGGGTAAAAAAATTGGTAATGAAAAATAATTATAAAAACGAGCTTGGGTCAGAAAAGGGGTAAACCAAAGGTACTAGCTAGATTTAACCTGTACGTTCGGGTAAAGCGGTGGGTGGGTCTGAATCAAAGGCCATGATTCAATGTTGTCTTTAATTAAGATCGGGCATCTCAACAAATAAATAATAGATTATTAATTGAGTTTGCAATTAGAGGTGCAGGCAGGCAGGGCGACTTACTTGCACATCAAAGGCCCGGCCGGCCGCGTCTCCGACAACCGCAACGAGCTTCTCTGCGTTCTTCCTGAAGACGGAGCAGCTGAAATCCCTGAGAACTCGGGTGGAGAACTCGAAGCTGGCGAGCTTCCGCTGCTGCTTCCACTTGTCGCCGTCAACGGCGAATATGCCGTGGCCGAAAACGTCGGTGATGATCTCTTGATTGTAGCGGCCTTTGGAGTAGCTGTGGAAGTTGGTCTTCAGCACGTGCTCCACGTTCCTGGGCTCGGTCGTGTACAGGTGGCTACAGCTGGGGCCCACCAGCCGGAAAGTGCGGTGACTTCTGGCCAGCTGAGTGTGGTGGTCGTACAGCCGGTTGAAGTAGAGCATCTGCTGGAACACCGTGCCCTTCACCGGCGCATACTCCGGGCTGTTGACTGACTTCCCGGCGTAGGATTTTACCAACAGGTAGACGAACCAAACGGCGGTGACAAGGATCCCGCCAAATGTGAAGCCGGCGATCGCGAGGAGGATGCCCATTTTCTTTTCTTTTCTTTCCTTTTCTTTTCTTTTTTACCAGATTAATTAATTGGTCCATATATATGATGTGCTTAATTGTTGTACGTAGCTATTTATTGACGCAGATGCAAGGAAGCTGGTTTGGGTCGGATTGTTTTATGTAATATATAATTGTGGTCTTCGTAAAAGACATGAAAAGAAGAGCCAAATCGGATTACGTTATCATGCAATATATATGAATTAGCTAGCTAGCTAGCTAGCTCGTGATGGCGATCTTAGTTTTCAACTTCTATCATTTGTTTCATTTCCAGGAAACGGGTTATGCCCGTTACTTTAACAGTCCATGTCCTCACATTGACGTGTTTCTCATTTTCCATGTTTCTTCTTCTTCCTTATTTTCTTAATTTGTTACAAAAAAATTCCATGTCTTCTAATGCATTAGAGTTTGAATTTTTATTCTACTCCTGTCAAATAATAGATCAAACCAAGAACAATACCCGGTTTAACGTGGTATTTTCAACGAGTATCATTGAGACTAATTCACGGAGAGGAGCAACCTCTCAGAGTCAATATATTTCACTAGAATACTTAGGTTACAGAAGAGGGCAGCCGCCACCCCTTATATACATCCAGCTGGCGCCTAACCCTATCACGTGAATGCCGTAATTGACCTAATTAACATAAATATACATGGTTAATTACGACTGACTCCTAATACTTCTAACACCCTCCCTCAAATTGATGGTGCTTTCGCAACATCAATTTGTAAGCCAGGAACCAATGACGAGCTTTCGCGACAACTTTAGTCAACAAGTCAGCCTTCTGTTCTTCAGAAGTAATATATTACGACTGACTCCTAATACTTCTAACAACTCCAAGAGGACTACTTTAAGATAATAGAGTAATACGACACTGCAAATTTATTTGATGTGGCAGTCAACTCTCATTGTTTACCGTTATATATGTGATGTGAAAATTAAAACATATATAATAAAAATAAATTTTAACATTTTAAATTTTTCATCTCATTTTTACAACTATTTAAAAATAAAAATAAAACTTAATTTTCCCCAAAACATCCAAACCCTACCCAATTCTGCCTTCACCCTTCGGTGGCCTCCTTTCTTCATCCCCAATCAAATAAAAAATAATTAATATAATTGTCAATTTCTTCTCCGATCTCGTTCTTCTTCTCAATCCTCATCCCCTGATGCTACCAATCTGATGTTACCAAGGCAGTTAGCCAGTTACTCCTAATGGCTATAAATAGGAGAAACGAAGAAGAAGCCAGGGTTTCACACCCAAACATTTGACTCACAGTGTCAAACTTTATCCTTTTCTCTGCAAATTAGCCATAGTTTTATTTTCTAGAGCTCTCACTGAACCTCCATAGGAGTAGAGTAACGTAACTTAGCTTGTTCTCAAAAAACCATCAAAAACATCAAACACCCTCATTCGAACATTGTTCGGAGAGGAGTGAACTGTGTTAGTTTCGTTGTTTAAGATGTCAAAGTTACATTGATTGAATTCAAACACAAGTTTTTTCTCGCCGGAAAATAGAAGACATGACCTTTTTCTCCACTTCTCCGTCTGTTGTTTTATCCGGCTGCTTAGTGTTGCAGTTCATTAGCTTAGGGTTTTTTTTTTTATTCAAAGTACTTCAGCAGCTTAGGTTTTAGTTTCCTACGGAGCTGATGGAGCCCGAAGGGAAAAGGAAGCCGGGAATCATTTCAATCTCACCTAATTGATTGAGGGGCAATTAATTGGACAAGTGAAATTAAGAGGATGCATGTGCCTGAAGATGATGGAAGGAACTAAATTGCTATTTGCCGCCAACTAAAAAAAATGGAATTCAAATTTTGAATTTTTCCTTCCTTCCCTTCCTTTCATTCTATAAATTCGGATACCATTAACTAGGGGTGAACAAACACACCCGCAAACCGACCCACCCGTCCAACCCGAACCAACCCACCCGTATTTATCGCTAAAACGAAGGTTTTGGGTTGAGTGAGAGTTTTCTTTTGTACAACCCGCCTCTTTTGGGTTGGGTTTGGATTTTGGATTACAAAACCCATAGAACCCGACCCAACCCGTCTTCCAACTATTAGTATGAGTTCGGATCTAAAAAATATTTATGTAGTATATAGTCATATACTTATGAGAAGATTAAGATATTTCGCCATGTTTTTCTCTCATGATCTCCCTAATCTAATGCATTCTTCGACTTAAAGTTTAGACATAAATTGAATATAGTAATGATTCACGTAATCCTTTTTCTTGTGTACAATTTTAATAGAATAACATATGATGGATGCGTTTGTTTATAACATTTTTAGCCTATTTCAACAAATATCGTGAAAAAAAAAACAAGACATATGTTGAAATAAATAACATTTTACTATTCAACGAAAAAAATAACATTTTACTAAAATTTAAACAACATTTGTAAATTTTCATACCTTTCTGGTAAGTTTTTCAGTTTTCCGGCGAAAAACACGGTGGCCCGAAAAAAATTGTGGCCGGAACGCCGCCGAGCCGAAAAAAAATTTCGGCCGGTGCGACGCCCAGCTTCTTTCGGGCCGGCGGCGCCGCGGCCGCAAATTTTTTTCGGCCGGTCGTCGAACACGGCGGCCAAAATTTTTCCGGCGGCGTGTTCGTCGGCCTACCGAAAAAAAATTGCGGCCGGGGCGACGACAGGCCGAAAAAGAATTTCGGCCGGGCGTCGCACCGGCCGCAAAATATTTTCGGCCCGGCGGCGCACCGGGCGCAAATTTTTTTCGGGCCACCTTGTTTTCGCCGGAAAAACTGGAAAACTTGCTGGAAAATTGGAAAACTTGCCGGAAAAATTTTCGGCCCACCGTCTGTTCGTTGCAAATCGTCGGAAAAATTGTTCGAAACTATAAAAAATTGACGCGCCTGCTTAGTGATGATTCATGGATGCGTGTCCGCAGTTTATGTCGAGGATGGGCTTTCCCGGTGGTTTTCCGGCGAGCGTCGATTTTTTCTGATTCAATACGTTTTCTGAAAGTTGAATATGTTGTAGATTGTGAAACTTCTTAACCAAGGATGTACATAAATATTTTTTTTTTAGTTGGCGGTAAATAGCAATTTTTTTGGCGGCAAATAGCAAGCCTTTTTTTTTATGTGTTCAGTGTTGTGATCTTGCTACAGCTCGGCGGCGAATGACCACTTACAGCCGACGGAACGCTTGCTTTCGGGTAAGATGCGGCTTCTCTCGGCGATGATGGAGCCCAAAAGAATAATAAAAGTTGGGTCGGGCTAGTGGCTGCTTAACTGTTGGGCTCTAAGTGGGTTCCGCTGCACAATGAGACTATGGCGGACATTTTACTCTATTATTATATTGATAGAGTTGTAATGTCATGTAGGGTTAATTACATAAATATTGTTTTTTTTTTATTTACCACAAATAAGGCGGATTAAAAAGTATTGACACAGATATTGTGTTTTGGAGAGCAAAACCAGCGAGACTGCCTGAGACTCAGACGCCGCCGCCGTTTCTGTTTTTTTTGGATCATTTAATTAAAGTTTACAACGGCGGCGCCAAAGACTGAGGCAGTACCGCCCGAGACTGAGGCATGTTGTGGGAAATTGTACCTGACGATGGCGCCCAGGACTAGGCGGGTCCGCTAGCGTATTGCTGGCTACCCCCTATAAAAGCAGCGAATTTCGTTTCAGTTGTTCACTACAAAAAAAATCAACGAAGTTTGAGGAGGAGAAGCTCTGGTTGCTGCTGCAAAAATAGCTAATAGGTAAGAGACACATTTAATTTTTTAATTATATTATTCAAATGCTATTATGATTTTCTTTAGTTAATTAGTGAGTTTGTTTTTTTGTAGTGATTTTAGAAGATTTGAACTAGTCGTTCGGTGGAAATTGGAGAAAGTAGAGGATAATTTAGGCTTCTAATTCGTTGGTGGTAGTAGTTTTCAGTTGACGCTTCCATCTAGGGTGACGTATTAGAAACTTTGTGAGAATCTAATTCCGACAATACGGCATAGAGACGAAGCAGTACGAGATAGTGATGTTATCACAGGTTTCACTTACCGTCTTCCAGAATGGCAGAATGGTGTTTTATTTCAATATTTGATGCCTATTGTGGATGATGATAGTTTGAATGTGCTTTTCGATTTTATAGCACAAAACCTTATTGTTTGGGTGCTGAGATACATGCTGAGCTCAGTGAGAATCGGGATGGAGAGGAAGAAGATACATGGAGCATGCCATCCAATCATGACGATGTTGACGGAGAGGAGGAGGAGGAGGAGAAGGAAGATGGCGATGGAGAGCATCCTAATTATCCTCCATATTTTTACTTGCAGGGTAATAAAGAGGACGAGAAATTATCATATGGCGTAACTAATCTTGATAATTCGTAAGATATATTAATAATTAATTATTATTGCCGATCTGACCCATCACATGTCCACCATTTCATATATCCTTTCTAATTGATCTTTGTTAACTTTTATAATTTGAAGGAAAAAATTAAATTGAAAAAAAGCTTGCTCAAACTAATTCACTTAGGCGGGACAAATAGCGAAAGTTAAAGTTTAGGATTTTGCTGGACTTTTTCCAGAAATACCACTGTTTAAAAAAAGAATTCCAAAAATACCACTCAACCCCAAAAAATTCCTGAAATACCATCTTTTTCAAAAACCGCCACCCCACCCTGCGGTTTACACGAAAACCGCTTGTCGGGGCGCGGTTTTCTATGCAAACCGCGGGGCTAAGGGGCGGTTATAAAAAAATATTTGGACCAAACCGCTGGGTGGGGTGGCGGTTTTGGGCAAAACCGCCACCCCACCCAGCGGTTTGGTCCAAATTTTTTTTTTTTCCGATCAACTCCTAACTTCGGGCGAAACTTCAAACGAATGTAACTTTGCACTCAGGTATCCGATCGTAGCGATTCTTTTTTTCATTTCACATAACTTTTCAAGATCTACAACTTTTACTAGGATGAAATTTTCAAAACAGGAATTATTTGTGGATATACGGGACCT